AAATTATCCTATTTGCTCCTGCCTGTTTTCTAGTTCATCTCCCTAAAGGCTACAGCAGAACCGGTGCCAGGAAGTGCCTGCGTTTATTGCCGTTGAAAGTGATGATGCCTGAAGTCATCCTGGGGATCAGGGTGCTGTAGAGTGAAAGCAAACGCAGTTCAGCACTGTGTCTGATCAGCTGCCCTGTGAACTTAAAGGCGCACGGTGGGCAGGTCTAATGTCATCGATAGGCCTCGGAGTAAACACCCCGCTTTGATGAATGGAAACGGCTCATTCCTCCCTTCCTCATACTGTGTGAGCATGCAGATCCTGGTGGGGCTCTGTTCATCCTGCCCAGGGTTTTGCTTATAGCCCTGTGGGTAACATTTATTTCCTTTTTAAGTAATTACTATCTGGATACAGCCGTGGAGCTGCCAAAGGAGTAAGAGCTGAGCGCCGCATCCAGCACGGCGCTGGCAGGGAGCACAGCCTGGCCTTTGAAGTACTGCACCATCGGAGATCATTCAGCAATTCTTCTTTCTCCCTGTCATGAGTCTTTCTGAGAGGGAAAAGAAAGGGGAAGGAAGACTTGGGAGGTGGATGTGAGTGCTGGGAGCAGCTGGCTCCATGGTGTTGGGATGCCCATCCTCAGGCAGTGCTTCTGCCTGGGTCCAACACTGCCAAACGTTGGCTTTTTGTTTTTACCAAGGGCCTGCTTAACAGGAAGGCCAAGGCTTCTAAAAATTAATTTGCTGTTGACAAAAGCCATATGTCCAGTGCATTTTGAAATGAGAAGAGTGATGATTTTCCATTTAGCTGACTCTGATTTCCTGAAGGGCGGCCAAACCAGCCGGGAAGCGAGGGCGCAGGCAGCAATGCCCAGCCTGCTGCTGCCGAATGCCATTCCCAGATCCCACTCGGTTTTGCTCTGAGCTCGTTTCAAGACACAACCACATCAAAACAACAGCTCAACCTGCCGCCTTCCTGTTTGTAAACCCAACTGAAACCGTGGCCAGGCAGCACAATGACATCTGCCATCCAGCTTCCCAGGTGGAAGTGGGGTTGCAATGGCAGGTGGCAGGAGAAGCTTGTGGCCCCCTGAATAGGAGCTCAAGTGCTTCCTTGGCCTGGTGCTAGGCTAGGATAGTGGGAAGAGCCTGATGGGTTGCTGTGTTAGAGGGCAAGATTTAAATGCAGTGCATGAGCACGGCTGAGAGGCAGTGGTTCCTGGTCAGGGTAGCACAGGACAAGTGCTTAAATCACTTGCAATTACTTAAAAGTGTTTTCTGTTGTTTTCTTCCTTATTTCATTGCATTGCTTGGCAGTGCAGCTGTAAGAGCATCCTTTTACACCTGCACCCTGTGCCTTACGTTGTTCTGGCATGGAGCAAGCTTGCCCCAGGCAGCTCAGCACTGCTCCGGGCAATGAGAGCCCTGGGTGGGCATGAGGTGGGTAGTCACAATGCTGGTGTAAGAGCTGTGGTGTGGCAATGTGCAGCCACAGGGATGCAGGGAGGAGTGGTAAGAGCTGGATGGTTTTGGCAGGGCAGCCCCGGCAGCACCATCTGCTTGGTGCAGGTTCCAAGGGTGGGAGAAGCCATGGGGGACCAGACCTTGTCCTGGGCACATCCCCACAGCCATGCTGGCAGCTGACCCAGGCCAGGCCTCCTCCCAGCAGCTGTGCCCACATGCCAGTCATTTGCATGACAAATTCAAGTATTTTTCATAGGAAACCATCACACTGGGGCTGTCAGAGTTTTTGCATGGGCTGGAGCACATGCAGCCCCTTTGCTGCCATGGGGCGGCATCACCACAAATAACCAGTGCTGGGGTCTGGACAAGCCCAGCCACAGTCTGGCATCACCTCCCTTCCCACCCACAGAGAGCTGAGAGACAGCCCCATGCCCTGTGCTGCCTGCAGAGCTTTGTGTCTGGTGCCAGATCCTCCTCCTCCCCTGCCCACTGTAGATAGGCGATGTCTTGGGTGATATTCCTGCCCTTCCCATGCACTGCCGTGCCCCAGGGTGTCCCCTTGCCACAGAGGCACAGCTGAGGGAGGGCTTTGCTGCCACTTGTGATAACGGGCAGTGGGGCACCAAGCCCATGTCTCTGCAGTGCTCTGCCCCCACTGCCCCCTGGTATCTAGCGGAGACACGTGGGGAACCCCATAGTCTCCCAACAGGGCTCTGCAGTGGCACCCCAGCTCCTGCAGGTAATGAGCCTCAGCGCCAGAACTTTCCGGTTGAAAGGCTGAGCGCAGGATTTATTTGCATGGTGACTGGGCTGCTGTTGGCACTTGCCCTTTAAAATAAAGTTCACAGCAAAATGTTTATACCCCCTTGCTTATAGCAAATGCTAACAGCAACCTTTGGGTTTTTTCTTCTTTTCTGGCTGGAACTTGTTTTTCCCTCCTTTGTGCCTCTCTGAATCCTGCCAGTGCAGAGATTCCCTTGTCCAGAGAGAGAGAAAAAAAGGGAAAAAAGAAAAACGTAAGCCTGGGATTAAAACCCATCACTAAAATAGCTTCAATAACAAAGTCAACTGACCAGCCAGGAGCCCGCTGAATGCCTGTCACGTATCGCGCTTCTCCCGGGAGCACGATCATGTGTTGCACTAGATAGTTCCTGGAAAAGCTTCTGCTCAGCCTGATAGACCTGCGGGTGCAGATACCACTGTGCCCATGCTGTGCTGGCCCCACTCTGCCAGAGGGCTGCGGGAAACTGCCTGAGCTTATAGGGGGACAGAGGGGAATAAATCCATCTCCTTTAGGCAGCAGAGACAGGTCTGCTTGTGACCTGAATAGCAACCAGCTGTGAGTGGTGATTGGAGCTTCTCCAGCATCAGTGGTCCAGCACCAGCATCTTGGACTAGCAGCCCCATTGGCCCTTATTGATGTCTTTAGCAATGGGATTTATGGTTTTGTTTCACACACACATGAATTTTTGTATAGTTTTAGCTAGATAACCAAAAAAGTGGGATCTTGCATGAGATAATAGATAAAAGCAGAGGGTTGATAAATCCTTCCCAGTCAGAGCCACCTCGCCATGGTGGCTCTCATTGTATGAGAGCACGCAACCAGGAGCGTGTTGTTGTGGGGGATTTGTAGCTAAACCCAAAGCAAATAGCTGTGGGTTTATCCTCTTGCTGACTCCAGCAGCACAAACCTGGAAACACAAAGGTGTGATGAGGCGCAGCGAGAGGGATGATGGCTCAGATAAGGCCATGCTGTGGGGGAGAGCAATTAAAGGCTCAGATTTATTAGCTCTGTGCCCATGCTCGGGAGGCTGATGGTGGTGATGGAGAGGTTGTTGATGGGAAGGGCAGAAATGGAGAAGTCAGAGACTGTTGTTCTGAAAGTGCTGCACTGTTTTAGGGTGAAACTGGGCAATAAAGGCACAGCACATCCCTGGTGAACCAGGCTGCAGTGGGTACAGGCTGTGCCCAGTCTCAGTGCTAAATCCGTGGCATGGGTGTCTGCCCACGGAGGATCTCAGAGCAGTGCTGCCCATGAGCACAGGGTGTACACACCTTTCTCTAGAGATCCCTAAATACCTGTATGTGAGTAACTTTATTTATTTGTAGATCTATTTAACTCATATATAATTTGAATATATAATTATATACAGATGTGCTTAAACACACGTATATAGCTTATAGATAAAAATACATGTGCATAAACACTATTTTTTCCTTCTCCCAACAACCAAACTATGGCAGTGCAGCAGTGGAGAGACAAGCAGTATTCAAAACTGCATTTGAATGCTTGCTTCAACTGATATTTTAACTTTTATTTCATAAATGCTTAGTGTTACTGGGCCCTTATGTTTTGCAGCATCTTTCAGACCCACCATACCTATCTTTAAGCAGAAATGAGATAAAGGAGCATAAGGTGAAATAAAGGACTGAGAGAGGAGCTTAGCTCCCACTTTAGGAAGCAGCTCGCGCAGACTTATCATTAAGTCCTAACGAATCAATGAGCCCCCACATCCCAGAAGCCAACTTTTAAAAGCATTTACCCACATAAAGCTGAAGACAGCGGCCTTTGGTAAATCATCCAGGAACATGTCTGCTTTGGAAATAACACTAAGCACTTTATTCCATGTTTAACACTCAAAAGATCCTTTAAAATCAGACTAAGCACACTTGAGTGGCTCCCATTTAATCCCTACCTCTAGATAAACACCAGGGGGTCAGCAGATACCAAAAGCCATTTGCTTTCTCCAGTAGCATCAGCTGGTTGTGTTTACATGAGCTGCTGACTTGCTTGCACATTAAGCAAAGCTTGAGCTTTGCAAAATGAAAGTGAAAAGCAAGAAAGAAATTGTACCATTAGCTTTCTGTGAGCTGGCTTTAAAATTAGCAGGTTTTAGACTTAAACACAGTAGAATGAGCCCTCAGGGGAAGAAAAACCATCCAAAAACCATCTCCTACCTGATATTCAGCAGTGCACACTACTCTTTATTTCATGCCACTTTAGCAAGGCAAACTAATTTGGTTTCCTGTTTCCAGTGAATTTTATATGTACAAAACATTTATATTTATATAATTCTATTATATATAAATCTGATTGGAAACACGTATGTAGAAAAACGTGTCTCCTATCAACAGCTGTGCGTTTTCATATGGGGGGTGTGTGTGTGTGAAAGAATACACATGAATGCCTTATTTCAACCGATATTTTATTTCATAAATCCTGGCTGCTGATGATGCCAGACGAATCACAGATTATAAAATACCTTCAAATGAGGAACGTAACAGCAATATAACCAGATTTAACAGCAGGTAGGACCACTTTACAGGTGCTCAGACATTTTGTGCCAGTAGAACTGTGCTGGGCTCCCTCAACTCTTGCCCATCGTGTGCTGCTTTGTTTTCCCTTTCCAGGCTTTCTGTTTGCTGAGTCCACCGTAAAGCACTCAAGGGCTGACTGAGGCTTTGCAGGATCCCCATCACTTACTGTTGGCCCTTGCCTGCAGGCTAAATCTGGGACTGTTTTTCCTGACTTCCTAAGGGCTGGAAAACACCATCTCTGTCCCAGTAAGATGCAGCCATCACTGGCATGAACACAGACTGTTTGCTGGGAGGCTGGATGAGGTTGAACAGAACCCAGCCTTTGAGCTGTGCCCAGGCATTGGTGGGATAGGCATGAGCAAGACTGGGTCAAAAGGGTGTCCTGCACTGTGTCGCGTTTCAGCAGGCTGGAAAGCTCACACACTGATGGGAGCCATGGCAGGGAGATGGGCACGCACAGCGCAAGGATGTCCATGGCTCCTGCTGGAGGGGCTGAGCAGCGCACAGTGACGTTCCCTCACCTCTTGCCCACTGCTGCCAAACAAGTTTGGGCACTGTGCCTGTGGGTGTCTCTCTGTCTGTCTGTCTGCATTCCCGCATGGTCTCTTCAATCAGCCTCAGTCTGCTCACTCCAGAATACAGCTATTCTGGGCAACTGCAATCTGGACGAAAGCTCCAGCCCTGCCAGCACCTCTGTGAGGGCTTGAATGGAAAAATACAAAACAATCCCATCGATTTGGGTAAAGGCTGCCCTCGGCCCCTCTCCCTGCGGGAGCAGCCCCAGCCCCACGCTGCAGCCACCCAGCGCAACAGAGCAAACAAAAACTTCAATCCAAATGTTTATACCATTGGCACTGTGCATGTCATGTGCCTGGTAAAGATGGAGAGTGCACAAATGTTTTCTTGTAGCTGCCATCTAAACTGCAAGAAATGGTCACTGCAGAGCATCCCAGCAGGCTGAGACCTGCTCGGATGGATGGATGGATGGATGGGTGGGTGGGTGATGGATAGATGGTGGGTGGGTGGATGGATGGATGGATGGATGGATGGATGGATGGATGGGTGGGTGGATTGATGGACGTGGATAGATGGGTGGGTGGATGGATGGATGGGTGATTGGATTGATGGAGGCGGATGGATGGATGGATGGATGGATGGATGGATGGATGGATGGATGGATGGACGGACACAGGAGTTGGGTCCAGGTTCAGAGACTGGGCCAAGCACTCTGTGCACAGGCAGTGGGTTTGGGGGCAGAGGTGGGAGTCTCTGTATGAGTGAGGCACTGCCAGATTTTTGGCACAGTGAGGACCTGGCTTTCCCCTCCCGGCTTCTTGCACACACATTAACATACACACACACAGTGGTTTCTCCTCCATCCTCGGCAGACACAGTGAACTCTGTACGTGCAGGGCACTGAGCTCCTGCACTGAACTCCTGCAGGTGTCTGCAGCTCATCCTGGTTGCTGCAGGTTTGTGTGCCAAGATGCTTAAAAGAAAAATCCCACCCCAGTACAACCAAGAGCAGCCTGAGCCTGCTGGCCAAGAGCATCACAGCGTGACGGTTACAACAGGCTTACTCATTTCTCTAGTGAGTAAGACTGAAAGAGGAGCCCCACGGGTGCAGGGCCGGGTGCGGGGCCAGCAGCCGATAAGGAGCAGCTCCCTAATCTCCAGCCCCAGCAGCCAAGAGGCCAAGGGTGATAACTCACACCAACCCCAGCTTGCAGGAGCTGGGGGTGGTGCTGCTGGTTTGAGTGCTTGCAGAGTTGCCCTCACACCAGGGGGGTTTGTATGCAGTGCCCCCCCCAGCCCAGCATCCCCTCATCCTCTCCAGGGAACCAGAGGTGCTGGTGGTGGTGGCAGCCATAGGGCAGGCACTCTGCCATGCTCATCTTGCCTCTGCACTAGATGCTCCCTGGGGCATAGCCATGGGGAAAGGTGGCTACAGCAGGCAGCATCTTTCACCTGATAAATCCTCCTGTTTAGGATCCAGCGTTTAGAAACTGGAGGTAGGGAAGGTCCCAGCCAAAGTTCGTCCTTGGCTGCCTCATGGGCTGGGTGATGCTGGGAAGCCAAGAGCACAGCAAAGCCTGGCATGCCCCCGATTCAGACCTGGGCTGGAGTTTTGGCTCAGATACCTGGCTTTTATCTGCCCCCTTTGGGAGCCGCTGGATAGGCTGGCTGGGTCAGGCCCGTGCCTGTTGATGCCCATCTCCCACAGCACATACCCACAGCACCCACTGCTGCTGCCCCGCTGGTTCTGCATTACCTGCCCCCCGCAGAGGATAAGCTGCATCACCCCTCGCTAGCCCCCATGTGCCAGGCTGCACAAGATCAGCTCTGCTCCAAAGCACATTTTTGTCAGAGGGCAACAAGATAAAAGTCTTAAAATAGCTCACCATGACAGTGGCCAGGGGCTGTGCCACCGCACTTCCCACACACTGCCGTCCTCCGTCCTCCTGCCCTGGCTTTGGGCACGAACACCCCTGCAGGAAGGCTGGGTTCCTAAAATCAAACAGGACACGTGCAGAGCTGCTCCTGTCCCCAGGCATCATGGTTTCTGGGAAGCACAGCACCAAGCACAACATCACACCACAAGCACTGCTGAGCAAGACTCTGCCTCTGCTCTCAGGGTATCCCTGCTCCTGCAGGGCCCTGCTCAGGGCCCCTGTCCCTATCCCCAGCTCGCTGCAGGGAGCACCCTGCCCTCTTGGCCATCTCTTCTTTGGCTCCAGTTGAACACTGCTTGGCCGAGTCCCCAGCCTGGGAACAAAAGCGCAGAGCCCCAGTGCCAGGCCGGGGGCTGGGGGAGGGCACAGCTCCTGCACAGCTCCTCTCCAACGCTGGGAACCAACAGGGCATAAAAGTGAAACATCCCCCTCAATGCCTTCACCAGCCCCTGATGCCCAGGGATGCTGCAGCCCGGGCTGCAGTCTGCCCTGCTGGGTACTGAGGTGGCTTTCTGAGGCCGGGTGCCATGGAGAAGACTGGGGGACCTGCTGCCAGCATCCTCTCCTGAGAAAGCCAGCTCCAGCTCCCTCCTTGCAGTGTGAACCTGCTTCTTTAACCCCTCTGGCACCATTGCTAGTGCAGTGCCCTGGCCCTGGTCCCTGGGCTCTTTGGCAATGCTGCCAAGCAAGGGTCATAACAAGCTTTAGGCTTTCACAGATTTCATCCCACCTCTCCCTAATTTTGCATTGAGTTTTGTGATGCTATTACCCTGCACAGTTTCAATTCATATCTACCTGATGTCTTTATTTTTTTTAATGGGAAACAAGATTCAAAATAATCCCCAGAGAAAACAAACCCTGTAATGCCCACACAGATTTTCCTAACAGCTGCAAAAATGCCCATGAGAGCAACTGCTGTTAAGCAGTGAGGAATTGCAGTGGAGAACTTGCAGCACAGGAATGGCACTAAGGAAATGAACCATTTTATAGAGAAAGGAAAACATGCTCCACACACTGCCATAGCACAAACCTGAGCTCCTATAACAACTCACACCTGTCTGGGAACAGGTAGCCTCGTGGAGGCACGCTGGGATTACTGGGGATGTCCTGCTGCTATCCCTAGCCATGCCAAGGGGACTCATGGCCTTTGCTCTGCCCTGCAGTTACCATTGCACACCTCCATTGCACGACCTCCCCAGCTCAGTGTCACCTTCAGTCCCAGCAGTCACAGTTTGGCTCCGGGGATGGGGTGCAGTGGCACACCACACTTGCTCTTTTATTCACAATGCTAATTCTTCTATTCACGATGCCAATAAAAGCAGCTGAGCTCACTCTGGTTCACTCATGGCCCTGGAATGAGCATTTTTGCTCCCACCTCATTGTGCAGGTGATGGTGGGGAGCCACATGCTCTCCCTCCGCTCCCACAACTCACAGGCTCCTGTGGGATGGGTGGCAGTGAGGCAGAGCCATGGCATATCACTGGGAACCCACCAGCACAGCAGCTCATCCCCTGCCCCTGCACTCAGTGCCCACATAACACCACATGCCTCTGGAGAGAGCCGAGCCAGGGACAAGGCGATCTGCGATCTCTCAGGGATGCCGTGTGTGCCAACGGGATCCTGGGATGGAAGCTGGCACCAAGCTGAGGAGTCAGCAGAGCCCACACTGGCTTGGACTTAGCTCTGCCCGGCTGGATGGGGCATTTGGGGTGTGTTCAGGTTTGTCAAGGGTCGTCACAAGCCTCCCTGGCGTTGCTCACCTCCCTCAGCGACCCAAGTGTCTCCGGGCAGCTCTTGCTCTGATGTATTTGGGATGGGGCTGCAGGGAAGCCCCGCACAGGAATCACCAGAAGGGACCCCACATGCCATGCGCTGCATGAATGATTCCCCATCAGTGGCTGGGTCCTGACAGTGTGGTGCTGGCACCCGGTGATGCAGGCAATGGTCTGTCTGAAGCCCCTTTGTAAAAGCTGATTTATCCGCAGTTTAAAGAGCCCTCTGCATGGCAGAGCTCAGCTGCCCAGCAGGGCTTCCGCACTGTGGGACACAGGGATGCAGAGGCTGCGGAAGAACTTGGCTCAGAGGAAAACTCCTCTGGAGAGGTGTGGTCTGTCTGGAAACCAGGGTTTGCTGCAGCTCCTGGTGGGCAGAGCACGGGCAGCACCGCTTCGTCGCGCAGCCAGGAGCACACGGACCTGCGTGATGTGCGGCAGCACCGTCCCACACCCTGCACAGCAGCGGCTCTGCTTTGTGCCCTGCCTGCTGTGTAAATACCAGCAGGGTTTTCTTAGCAGCCACCAAACGCACATCTGCTCATGCAAAGCCCAGCCGCCGACTGGGGCAGGAAGCTCCCCACCACGCACGGGCGGCTTCCCTGCATGGGCCAGGCTGCCTCCTTGACCTGCAAGTGCTCCGTGCATCCAACACAGCCCCCCCTGCTCCCCTCCTTGCCTGGAGAGCCTGGGCTGAGCCACAGCCACCTTCACTGCAGGTAGGCAGCAGGAAAGCATCACTGCTGGTCACCCAGGAACGGTCCCTCAGCCCGCTGCCGCTCGCCTGGCCCCAGCGCGCTCACAGAGATAAGGCTGTGGGACGATTACTTTGTGCTGCCATCAAGACAAAATAAAGCCCGGCTGGTGCCAATACAGCTTTCTTCTTCATTGTTCTATTTCCACACGCCTGCGTACGCCCGGCCGCCCCGCTCCTGCCAGGAAAGCCGAGCGCTGATCATTGTCAGATGGTTCACAGAGAGGTTTCTGGTTTGTTTTGTTTTTACAAGCATCCAAGTTGATAGGGGGAGGGAAAGAACTTTTGTCCTCTGCTTAAAATAATTCAAGAGCTTTCCACTGTCTACGCCAGGCTCAAGCAGACATTTGCATAACAAATGAGCTTCTCCCCACTCTTCAGCCCTGGGTGACCTCTGTGGCTCCTTGCAAGAGGAGGCTCCATCTCCATCACCTCCATCTCCATCTTCCATCCCAGGCCTGGGCCTATGGGGAGGGGAGGGCAAGTGGAAGTTTGTAAGTTTTCAGCACTTTTGTCAATCAAGACTTTGTAAATGGCCTCTGGAACATTTCAGCAGTAAAACATTTGCTGGGTGACCAACAAATAATTCCAGGCATCTTTTATTTTGCTGTAAAAATGCTACAAATCAAGCTGCTTAGTGGAGCTTTCTCTCCAAGCTAAAGGCCACTGACAGCAGAACCAAACACGAACTTTCCTGTTAGCAGAAGTGGCCTCTCCATGCTGGGTGTTCTCCTCCACACCGTGAGGCACAAGCAGAAGGCACAGGCCTAAGAGCTGTTCGCGTGTAGAAAGCCCAAGCAAAGCCCCTTGGCTGGTTCAGATGTACAGGTTACCCCAACAGTTCTGCTATTGCTATTTAAAGAGATCTCACTGCAGAGCACTTCCAGAGAGCATCTGCTGCAACAGCCGAGATCATGACTTTCAGCCCAGCAAGTAGATGAAACCACTGTGAGAGCCCATTGAGCTGTGAGAGCTGGTTTGTGCAGAACTGGATCACCTCAACCCCTCTGCTGAGGAGCTGGAGGAATTGTCCAGCTCCCATCCTCCTCATGGGAGGGAGAGAGTGGGGTAGTAAAGCTTACATACCTTCATGTAGCTCTGTGACGTGACAGGAGGATCGCTGCAGAAATAAGGTGGAAGCAAATGCTATCAGAGTCCAAGTGCCCCATCAATTGTATCAGAATATTGTATTCAGGTGAGGAGGGCTGGGGAGAAGGGAAGTCCCAGCAACACTGCAACATCCTTGTTAGACAATGACAAATAATGTTGGGGTTACTCATTTCAAAATAGGGTTAGATTTTTTTTCATGACATCACATTACGGGTACACAACTAAAAACCAATTCAATCAAACCAAAAACCAATTAGACTCTATTATCCTCTCCCACCCCTTTTATTCCTGTAGAGTGAACGCTGACATCTGGCATTTCCACATAATAAGAATTATAGAGCAAACCTCCAGAAACCTTTGCAACATGAAACATCCATCCTCCTCACCATGACCTTGTCCTTTCTGGCCAGTCCCCTGAAATCAGTGAGTTACTCTGGCTCCCCATAGCTCCACGCTGGAGGATATGCATCTTTTCTCCAGCTTGTGCATCCTGGGTGGGGAGATGCTGCTCACAAGTACCCAGTCCTACCGGGGCAGCTCTGGGAGCTGGGCACGGCCAACAGCAGGGCAATGGCTCTGCTCTGGAGACCAGACCATACATAATACAGTGTTTGAGATCCAACAAACCTGTACTGCTCAATTTTCCATAGCAAACCCAAAGCATTGCAAAGTACTGCAGTGAGGTGCAAGGCTTTTTGCCTCTGTAGATTTGGGATTCTGGTGGACACCAGCAGGCTGGAGCCACATGCACCTCTCCTACTGATGTGCTCCAGGACTGTTTATCCCCACCTGAAAGAGCAGAGCTCAGGTCAGGGCTCTCCTGCAGCTCATGGTGGCTTTGCAGAGCCGGTCATGGTCCTAAGAACAGGTTTGAATCATGGCTTTTGTGGCCTGGGTTTACAGCCAACACAGGGTATCCCAAACCCCCCTGCTCCACCTTCTGTGCGCCAGCTGCTTCAAACACCACCCTGAGATGCTGTGCCTTCCACTTGTATCACTTGGCCGAAAACCCATCCTCTGTATGCAAACCCCCGACCCCCCCAGCAGCTCCATCCAGACACTAATGTGTGTTATTAACACCCGAGCTGGCAGCCTGCATGCCCCAAGCAGGGTAGGACAGGCTCCCCTCGGAGCTCCCCGTGGCTTGGAGTCCAACCTGCTGGGCTGCTTTGGGTTTGGTTCAATTCAATCAAAGCCTCAGCGATGCCATATGGCTCCCGGGGATGTTCAGCTGCGGGGGGGGTGGTGGTGGTGGTGGTGGGGGGGGTGTTTTGCAGCACCAGCAGTGGTTATGGCTGGCACAGGCAGGGGAGCAGCTCCTACCCCAGCCCCTGAGCACCCACGGGTGACAAATGGCTCTAATGACACCAGGATGTCCCCAGCACACGCCAGTGCCCAAAGCATGGGGACACGTGGGAGAAAAGCACTGCTCTAGGGCTGCAAGAAGATGCTTTGACACCGAGTGTTCCCTCAGAGGGCTTGGGGTTTGTTCCAGAGCTGAACAAAACTAAACCCTGACAGAAACAGCAAAGGGCAGCAGCACATCACTGCCTTCCCCAATGGACGGGGAAGTGGAAATCCTCATGGGACTGCGAAACACTCCCTGGAACAGCCCAGAGTGGAGAGAGGAGGCTGCTGTGCTGCAGACCCCACTTGGGAGCCGCTGCACTAGGACAAGCATGCTGGCAGCCGAGCACCAAGTGCTCCAGTGTGGCCATTCACGAGTGACGCCTGGCTTCCCCCCAGCACTTCTTCATTTTGAGGTCTATTGAAATAATGGCTTCTAAAGGACAGCAGCTTGGGGGGATTTGTTTTCCGTGCCAGCCAGCAGCCCCTTGTGTGGTGTGGGAGAAGGATTCCCATTTCTGGCATACCTGAGATACCAAGCTGTGATTATGCCACAAGGAAAGCACAACTGTGGGAACAGCAGTTACAGTCACCTGGTGGGTTTTGCTTCTGCTTCAAGACACAAGACTGAGAAGGCAAAACCTATTAAAAAAAAAACAAACCACCAATAACTAGGGCAGTCACAGCAAAGCAGGTCACAGGCACCATTTTTCTACAGCACATCAATCGGGACCGTCTGGACCATTTTCAGAAGTAATGGAAGACCTAAATGTCACTTGGGAAATGCATTACCTGGGGACTGCTGTGTCCCAGTGTAACAGGCAGGGAAGGCTCTGCCTGGGCTTTCAAGTGCCTTTTCATGGGCTGTTCTTGGAGAGACAGGCAGGGAAGGGAATGGGACCTGGTCCAGGAGCTGCCTTCACTTCCTGCTCTGCTGCTGCATGGCCCTAGGGATGGAGGGACTAATAAATTTGCCCTCACTCTAACAGAGCCTCCAGCTTCCTTCTCTCTCCCCCATCTCTCCCTGCCTTCCTTCTCCCAGGTATTTTGCCCAAGCTCATTTGCAAGAACTGGTCTCATCCTGGCTCAACTGCTGCAAACATTGTCTTAGGGCCATCTCAAAACAGTGTGCTGAGAACTGGGGAAACTGAGGCACATACCATGACCAGCCTGTTTTCATGTTCTCTGGGAGGAACAGTGGGGACCACTGTACCCAGGACCTTTGGTTTGATCTGATACCTTCCACATGCAGTTCATCATCACTTCCTGCTCCATGTTTGCCCAGTGCCATCTGGAACACATCCTGCAACACCAGTATGTGCT